GTTATAGCAAACACTGTAGCAAACAAATTCAGAACACGTGAGGACTTAGGAGAAGAAAAGGGCTCAGTTGGCTAGCTGCACCTTTGTGAAATTTAACCCGGCACAACCTAACCTCACTTATAGGACGCAAATTGAGCACCTCGCATGGTGCAGTAAAGAGTTCTCAAAATGACAGAGACTGAAGGTGTGCTTTAGCTATCACTTTAAAACGTGTGAGAAAAAAACCCAACCATTTCCCATCTGCTAAATTCTATTTTTCCAAAACCAATGCTCTCATTTCAGCAACCCGAATTTTCAAAATCTTACTGTAACCAGCGAAAATTACCGTTCCAATAGTCTATTCAAATCCAGTATTGCTTATGTATTTTAGGAGCTGCTGAGTGCGTTCCTGGAATGATTAAACAAACTTTAGATCTACTGTTGGAGTGTGTTTCCCAACCTGTGGAAGGAATTGCCAGGCTTGGGTGTTCTTGTCTCAGGTAATGTACCTTTAAGATACCGCTTTTATTTATCGGACGATTTCGCATTTGGGCTTTTGCAACAAAACTGTACACTTCTTTTGATTGGTTCATACGTATGATCTATTGCTGCCCCTGGCGTGCCACTTTCTTGTTCTTACCACAATTTACGTCATCTGTGATCTCTTACTGAGCAGACGCACGGCATCATGGGATCGATTTGTCAAGTAAAATGTTTGATCGTATTGTAAAATACCCAGTACATTCCTAATATGATCGTGAAAGTAATCGAGAGCTCTGTTTATTAAAATCAATCAGTTCATGCCTCTCCACTTGTTACTCTATATATCGTCGAATTTTTAGCAGAGGGAAATTGTCACAAAACTTTTCATCAGAACAAGTCACAATTACACCAGCCTAATGTTTCCTTTCTTCTATGACCTTTCAGGCACCTATTACTTTCGGGAGGACCAGTCTTTACAGAGGACCTGTGGCTCATTGTTAGTGAGGGGCTTAGAGAGGCGGTACATACGACCCTGTCAAACCTGAGGGACATGGTAGCGTGCTTCCAACCAGGGTCATTCAGCGTAAATGGCGACGAGGGAATGACGGTCAGGGTTGTTGCACGGCGAGATGTTATAACAGCAGATATGATTCGACTGCAGCAAGTGGCAGAGCAAGTAAGATTTAAGAGAGGAATAAGCTATGAGGAGCACTACCATAGCGTACTGAGTGTCGTAAAACTAAAATCAAAGTGACCACAGTGGTTAATCAGAAGAATGGGAAATATCACAAGAAGTCAATGAGGACTCGAAGTGAAAACAAGTTAACTACCTCAAGCGCGGGAAAGCGCGAGTGACCAAGTCGCGACTAGTTTTGCTTTTGAATCTGATTGGTTGAAAGGGTAGCGCGTGGTTTCTTATTCACATACTTAATAAGGCAAAACAAATCTTGTAAATATTGCGAATTTCTATTTGTTCTTACCAAATCATTACAGTAGCACGCCAGATGAAATTCACATCATTGCCGGGAGACAAGATAAGTTATGTCTAACAATAATTGAGAAATATCGTCTCTGAAATGATTCAGGTCTAAATTCTTGCCAGTTTTTCAGTTTTTGTACCGGCCCTCTTTCCCAAGGTGCAGATCTTCTGAGCAAAAGGAATCTTCTGAGGAAGAGGGACATCTACTCATAATTGTTGAAATGTTTTTTTCTCGTTTTATTTCCTTCGTTAGGTGTTCCTACTGGACAATCAAGTTGATAAGTCTACCAACCATAAACAGGAAACGCCTAGGCCTGCGAACGAGGAAGATGATCAGCGGTCTTATGTATTTGTGTTGTCGTCAGTGGAAAATAAAGAAAAACCTGAGAATGCAGATAGGTGAGAGAATGAACGATCTTGTTTTAAAAAATTTTTACCTTAATGGATAAAACATACTTTGTGTGTTGCAATGATCCACCGTTAATTCTCTTTGTTCGCTGAAAACATTCTAGCTACAAAGCATTGCTCAGTTTGAATACAATGTCTTCACTGTAAAGGAATCATGATTTGTTTTTTCAATATGCTGTCAGATTAGAGTTTGAGTTGTCACGTAAAAGTAACTGTTGTAACATTGTACTTTAATTGTTCCCAGGGTCCCTCTTCGCGGTTTGTTGGTGAGTTTGCTTTCCCATCAGCTCTTGCTGCAAACTCTTGGTTCCATTCTCCTCGACAATGCGGAGAGCGTCATGGCACAAAGTTCGAACCCAGTCAACCCTCCTGCCTCTCTAGAAGGTTTCAATAATGAGAGCTCCGAAGCGAATCTTCCTGGTCTCCTTTCATACCTCTCACCGGCCAATTTATCAGTGTTATTTGATTGCCTCATGGAGTCTCACACAGTGGCCTACGAGTTCAACGCGCGACCTGGTTTAAGGTCGTTAATTCAAAAGCTAGCCAAGCTTGACGCGCCCGCAAACCTCCTGCGGCAATCCACGACAGCATTCACGTGTTACCTCCACACTCTATTCCAAATTTGTAGACACAGTGGAGAGCACTTCTCCAGCTCTCATATTAAGCGCATTCTGACGGGAGACCGGGTCACAAACAACCAGCAGGATAAAGAAGACGATGGCATCAAAGAGGAGGCAGGGAATAGCCCCGCGCGCCACAATGACTTGCTCAAGGGAGATCGCAACGTAGATTGGATTGTGCGGCGCTTAAACGAGGCTTGTGATCAATTGAGCAGCGTGTATGTGCGTCTGTACAATCAGTATAAGAGCGAAGCTCAAAGCAACATGTCATTCGAGGTTGATCTGGAGAGAAGTTTCTCATTCTCGTCAACATCTTCCCCTGCGCATGCTCGTGATATCTCCAATTGGAGCAATGGTTATCCGGATGAACCGTTACACTCTCCCCTCGGAAGGTGGAAACTCTCCTCCTCTTCCTCATCGGAGAAATTCCCTCGTGATCCCAAATCGAAACATTATCAACAACTCCTAGAGGAAGACATCCGCATGATAGAACTTGAAAGACAATTCTTGAAGCGAAAAGAAGACGAACTGCTTCAAGTAAACATTTGGACAAATCTGGTTATAACCATGCTAGAGCTGCTTCTTAGTTTACCTACGCTGCAGTTCAAAGCCGTTCTACCAGCGGTTTTTCCCGCTGTAACATGCCTTATTTCTACCGGCGCCGACACTAAGGTGAAGCAGTTGGTGTGTGAGGTTGTGCGGAGAGTCGGCTCCATATACGGCATCTTATGAAAATTTACTGACAATAAGTTATATGAATTTAGGGAGGGGGATAAAATCAATCCTTGCAGTAGCTGTGCGATATGAGATCATTTTTGATAGGAGTATAGAAAGGCCAACGCCACTAAAACACTTGACGCCGGAAAGCTAGTTTTCTCAAAGTACCGCATTTTTTTTCGCTCGCGAGGCGGACTACACTACACAAACTTAGGTATCTTAAAGGAGAGCCGTAAAATTTATTGTGTTGTAAACGGAAAGCCAATTATGTTTGTCATGCACAAGAAAATAAGAAAATAGTTGGCAATTTATGTGGAAAGGACCTTCGGCGGAGACTCATGAATAGACTAGAGCGAAGGTAATGTTAGCTGTAAAATGGCTGAACCAAATTTATGTACATAAAACCAAATGAATGATAGGGAACTCTTCAGACTTGCTCCCAAACAGAAAACCACGCGTTTCGGGAGCAAGAACTGTCATATGAGGAAAGAAACTTACAATTTTCGTGTTAATTTCTCCAAATTTTTATGTTCTATGAGACGTAATCCCGTGAAGTGTACTGACTTTCAACACTTTAAGCCGTGCACGTGACCTAGGAGTTCTGGTCCTAGTATCTGATTAGAAATTTGAAAAATTTCAATTTGAAATTTCAAAAGGTCTTCGCTAGGTTTTTGCGACTTTATCTTAAGTAAAGATGGTTTCTTTAAAGGGTTAAAGAAGTAGACAATATATAAATATGATTCGTAGATAACCAGTTTCAAAAAATAAGGAAGCCCCTTTTGTCTGATTTTCGTAAATTTTTCAACGTGGACCAACGGCAATCAGACAACACATCTCAAAAATGTTACAATGGTAGTTGATCTTGAGCTGGCATAGTAAAAGCAGTAGTAAGCAATAGCTATAAAGCAATTGCCTGTTATGCTTATTTACTTAAAGCGATAAGATCATGGGTATTCTTCTTGTTGAAAAAGTGCATGCGAGATTGGATTATAACCTTAATTTTGTATTTAGATGTGTGTCTGTTTAGTCTTACAGAAGGTCAATGACAAGAAATAAAAAAAAAGGTTAAGTGTCCAAATTTTGTTAACTTCTTGACTTATTCCATCGTTCGAATGCGCTGATGTTTCTCCCCGTTTACTCCCTATTGCCCATCGTGTATGACACGAAAGGCGCGTGACACCCAATCTTCCGTCAGGCAATCCAGTAAAATGGGGTGCAGCAGCGGGTTGCAATTAGTCTCCTACCAGCCGCCATTCGCAGCAGCTTTTAACAATTACAGCGATAAAAAAATGAAACTCTTGATCACTGGTTTCTAACGCATGTGAACTTGTAACAATTCGTGGCTTGCGAAGGAAGCACGTCACCGAGAACAACGTTACCAGTAATTGTTGCGTGACCAGGTGTTTCGTGACTATAAAATGATGAAGTACTTTGTCGACAATCAGATTCTTCCTACTTAGTTTGTGCGCTTTGTAAACCCGATTATCCTTCGAGAAGTCTGTTGTATAAAAAACGTAGTTGTGCATTAGTCTCTCAAAGAAAAGAGAGAGTGCGGGCTGGGTAATACCGATTATTGATAACGATCAGGATAGGTGAAGGAACATACCTGTACGTAAAGGAGAGAATCTTGGCAGCCAAAGAATCTGATTTCAACTCACCCTTGTACAAGTCTATGTAGGAATAAACCAAATAGTTACAATTTTCTCATGACTGAGTGAGAAATCATTTGGCTTCCCAGACTCCTCACCGTCCGCCATTGAAAGCTTTTTAAGTATAAGCATCTATATGCTCCCGCAGTACTCAGGCCGCTGATTATGGCGGCAGTTGTGGACCGGTTTTCCTTATCTTTAGATTTTAGCTCAGAAAAGCTCGGTCCTGACATTCTCTGGTATAATCCACCACAACAGTATAAACTACGTTGCAATGGTGACACAGGTTTAAAAGTTTTTTCGGTACGTTCTTCTTTTCATGTAGCTTGTCAAATCTTAGCAACAGGTACCCGTAGTGCGAGTCCGAGATTTCCAAACACGGACGAAGTGGGATGTCTATAAAATAAATGAAAACTTCTTTAAGTGGGAAAATTGACGTACTAGTTTTTGACTAGAACAGAACAGAACAGCAGAACCCTATATCAGCTGTTAATTAATGGAACCATGATGTCTTTGGGTGCAGAATATGTTATTTTATAATGGAGGGAGTTACCGGTAATTGTGGTTTATAATAAAGCAATTATTGGACTTTCAATTAATTTGGGGTTCAAAAGATTTTTCTTATGGAAGGGTGGATCGTGGCTTTTTAGCAGGGTCACTCTTTAAACTAGCAATTGACAGAATTTCTGAATATTGCCTTGTTACACTTGTCACATTTAAGTAAGGTACTTAAGCTATTAATAAAAGCAATACATAGCTCTGCCAACTAGCATATTAATGTGATGAGCTTACTGCATTGATTACTTTATTAAATGTGTATGAAATATTCCCTTCTTTATTTTAGAAAGGACAAACGGATTTTTGGAAGAGGTTTGTGACCCAATTTTTAGTTACTACAATCATGTAGATAATGTTATGTAACAATGAACTTTAAAACACTGTAGTTTGATGGTCTCATCAGTCACTCTAAGAGGCTACCGAGTTGTAATCAATATAATATGAGGAAGGTTCCATGGTGTAATGTAGATTTTATTTTGAAAACAAACATAACACCAATTGTAACAATCTGTCAGATACTTGATTATTGCTACAGAATGCATTGTATTCTTTTTTTCAAAGTGTTTTACATAATTTCTTTCTCCAGAACTTATTACAATCCTCAAATTATTAAAGATGATGGTCACCTGCTTCATCTTGTGGTAAAACAGATGAATAGTGTCATTGAAACATCATTTGAACTCAAAGCTCTAAACCAGTTTGATCAGGTGAGCTCATATAGTAATATTTTGAAATACCTTGTAATTTGTTGGATCGTATTTGATATAATTAGCCTGTAACCTGTCTAATCAAAACTATAACAAAATTCTCAAATGTGATTGATTATCACCAGCCCATTTGAGCACTTATAGGACAGTGTGCCCATTATACTTGTAATTGGACAGTGTAATAGCACAGTTAAAGGGACAGTTAACATGTCATGTCTGTGTAAGTGGACAGAATGTGTTGTGTGCATGTGCTGTGGTCTTGCATTTTTCCGAATGAACTGTTTTTTTCTTATGAAAATGTACAACCGATGGCTAGTTTTTTCCTCAAATGTTGACATAGTTTTGATTAATTGATAAAAAGACTTAGTGTCATCCAATTCTCTCTGTAATCATACTTTTGGTTAACAAATCAGACTCCCACTTCTTTGTAGTCCAATTTTGTCAGTCACTTGTATGATTACAGACCTAATTGGACTCCACTCATTCCTATTACCATCACTGGTGATTAACAAATGGACTCCCGCTTTGTGGCTAGCCAATTTTGTTAATCACTCGTATGATAATGGACCAAATTGGACTCCACTCAGTCCTATTACTATTACAAATTGTACAGAAATTGACCAGATGGTAGTGAGCCATGTTCAGTACAACTACTACCTGTGAATGTGTTTTGACTTTTATTTGTACTTATTGTATTGTGAGAAAAAAATAACAGATACATGCACAAACGCATGACATTTTATTAATGACATGTCTTGATAATCAAATTCAAAGAATAAATAGTTGGCAATGATTTACAATTATAGGAACAACAGTCATGTAAAATTTCTTTTGAAAAATAAAGGTGTATGAACAAAGAAAATAATTTACTCATCTTATGGAACAGCCTAGAGGTTTGCTAAAATGGGGTCTGTTCGAGTGTCAGAGTTGGTTAGTTGGATTTTGTTAGAAACACCATGTAAATAAGGCACACAAACTTCCTTCTAGTCATGGTTTAATACTTTTTTTTCATTTGGAAAAAATCTTCTGCATTGATTTTGTTCATTTAATAGGCTGGTATTATGGTCAGAGTGGATGGTGATCACTGGATAAAAACTGTGAGTACTACAATTATATCTTAATTTTCTCTACCTAATTAACTTGTCTCGCTAGAAAGTAACTATTTTATAATACAAGAAAATTTTAATTTTCCTTTTGAATTTTTTCATGACAGGGTCTGGAATATGTGGATGGAGAGTGCTCCATGAGCTGTGTTGTAACAAACAGGTGGAGTGATTGGTCAACGCAGTCATGGAGTAGCAACAAACTGGCTCTTAGGGTTCACAAGATAAACGATGATTATGTTGTAAGTGACAGAATTGTTACATTCTTCTCATCTTACCTTTTCTGATCCCAAAAGATTATATATGACCCCTGTTCCCCTTGTAGTTTTTTGTTATTACAATATATATATTGCTGAAAAGTTCTTCTCTATTGGTTAATGTTGTTGATTTTGGTTTAAAATTTTCCAATCCAGTTTGATTTTTGCTACACTCTGTTGTGTACTTATTGCCATGATTATAAGAAATAAAAAAAAATAAAGTTTGGAATGGCTTGAAAAAGGTTGACAACTGAGGCTTGTCCATTTCAGGAATTTTGAATCTGCTGTCTCTACCTAAATTACATGTATTTGAATGTAGCATTAGTATGGATGGCTTCTGTAACCCTACTTGTATATCAGTTGGGCTTGACAGATCAGTAAAGCAATGAGAATCAAAATGCACCTATAACAGAATAGCAATTACAGCTTTTATCAACTTGCCACAAGCGCTGACAAAAATAAGCTGTGTTGTAATTAAAATTTTGCAGAGAGTGTTCTTCATATTGATAGTGACTCCAAATTATGAGACAAACTATAGATAGAGTAATTATTTACTTAAACAACTGACGATGAACAACAAATGCAATTATTTTGTAACTATCTCTCTGTTACGCAATGAAATTTCCTTGAAAAGCCATGAAAAGCCAGGAAATTTGTTGAAGTTTGTTTGCATTACTTTTGCACAATACTGTAATTATCATAATTATGTATGTTTATTACCTAGGTTGAGAGCAAATTACCAGATGGAAGCCCTGATGACTGGAAATTTGTCCGCATTGCTCACCTTGAGTCAGGTGGCAAAGCAGTGAAGATTGGACTGTACTGTTGTTCCCCCACAAAAGAGGGAATGAGTGTAGTGTTTGATCTGCTAAGCATTCAACATTCAGATGGTACATATCATCACAAGGCTTCGTAATTTAACTTTTTAAATTTACACTGTAAAAATTAGAGTCTTTTGGAATTCCAAATTTCTCAGTAAACTGTATTTATTAGGAGAATTTGCATTGTATTTTAGATAATTTCTTGTTTTAGGATGAATATCCTACCCCAATTGTTCCCTTCCCCCCCTTTTAAAGCCTAACCCTAACCCTAACCTCTCAACACACTCAGACATTGCTTACACACAAACAATCTAGTTCTTGATACGGTTCCCCTCACCCATAAGGAATATTTGGATCAGTTTTAATGCAATTAATTATCTTGTATCAAGAAGTACACATTTCTGTCATCTCTCATCTTGTTGAGAAGTCCTATTGTGTGATCCTTCACTCATGTTATTCTTAAGCAAAGAAATTATTTTATGATTCATACACCATGTTTCTCTCTGTATCAAACTTTCTCAAGGTTTAGTCAAGGTAATTAATACACATCAAAGCATGTTTAGGTTACTTTTTGGTAGCAAAGACATAAGACGATATTGTATTTTGCAGTGATCTTTAGTAAAGTTTGCAGTTTTTAGGATTGTATGGTATTTTTCTGAGTTTCCTGGCATGATTCAAACGTTGTTCTGTGCATTTTATGCAGACTGGTGAATGCTTGATAATACAATGAACAATGCAGGAATATTTCAGGTATTCATGATTACGTGAAAAGTTTGATTATACGTGCTTTTACAATTCAAGGTTATTATTTTAGTCAAGGAAATTCCCGCAGTTTCATTCATTTATGGGAAACATTTTAAGAAGAGAAAAAAAACTCAATCTCTTATGCGTCACGATATCTCTTTGTCACGCAAAGTAAAGGTTCTTAAATGAAGTAGTTACTTAACCACGTGCGAATTAGCAACATGGCGGACGTCTCGATACATTTGAGTTTCCTTCGTTACCTCTCTTAGTCTTCGCACCCATAGCGTTGAGAACGCTTACAGGATAAAATTACAACAAGACTGAAATGAAGAAACGAAAAGGTGAACACGTCGTTGACGAAGGAACTCCTGAAATAAAGAGAAAGGCGCGTGACGAGAAGCAAAGCAACCACAAGTCGGGCGAATTCGCACGATCGTTGAAGGGTTTGCTACAGAAAGAACACACAAGGCTTTCCGGTGAGTAGAATACTGACATCTCAAATGGTTATTGGCCTTCTTCGTGGTTTTACCGTTATTCCAAAAAGTGAACCTTTGAGCAAAATTAGGCAAGAACTAATTTGAATTAAACGTTGAAAAGTTATAAATAAATATTAGGACAAAATGGTTTCGAACTTATATTTTTTTAGTTGCATTTCTACAGTCCTTAATCAAAGAAAACACAGATCAATCTTGCCTGCATTCGTTTTCACCTGAAGATCACTGCCAACTGGCATCTACTATTCCACGCAGCTTGGCTAATTAAGGCTAGACTCTCGTTAGCTTTATTCCTCTGTCATTTCGTCTATAAAACATGCAAATGATATTTTACCTGTGATTAACCAGGCAGTTATTGTGATTCTGCAAATATTGTGATCTTGAATTTAAAAGTTGAAAGGGGGAAAGGGAGGGAGCCCCTAGAGGTAGAGATGCACTGTGAATGACATACTGAAAATGTCACCCTTAACATAAGTGCTAGGGGAGACCCAGTGGCCTAGTGGTAAGTGCACTGGACACTGGATTAAAAGGTGCAACTTCAAGACATGGCCTGGTCAATATTTTGTGTTCTTTGGAAAGACACTTAAATCTTACAGTGCCTCTTTCCACCCAGGGGTATAAATGGGTACTGAATAATTGTCAGGGAAGCCATTAAAATGCTATTGGGGTAAGCTTGCAATGGATTAGCATCCCATCCAGAGGAGAGTAGTAATACTCCTGGTCACTTCATGCTACATGGAAACTGGGATAAGCTCTCTCTGGGTGAGCCAATAGACTTGAGTACAGACTTACCTTTACAACCAGTGATATAATATCTATTGACTTGTAAGGTCTGAAACAACTTCTGAGTGTACTCAAAGAATTACAAGCCAAAGAATCTATTGGAGATATCATTAAGGAAGGTGGAGAGTTTCGAGAAATTTTCACCATTTTAGAGATAGGCCAACAGGGTCTTTCTAAGCTTGAGGTATGTGGAACATTCATAAGCCTATTATAAGGTGCACTAAAATTTTTCTTTTAAGTCCAGCCAATTGTAACACTTGATGAATGTTCATCAGTATATATGTTTTACAGAGTGTATAACCTAAGTTTAGAGAGTTGCTAGCCTCTTGAAATGTGATTGGTAGTGAAGCTGGCAGTTTTGTTTGTGCAAAGCCACAAGAGGCCTGGGACAGGAAATTATCGGAGAAACTGCTTGCTAACATTGGCAGGGGTTTGCAGTTTTATCATCTGCATGTCCTGAAGATAAGAATTTATTTTGTCTGAAAATGCATACATGTCAATCGACTTTTTGGGTTACCTCCTGAGGAGGATTCAATTCAACGATAGCACTTGAAAGTCACGTGATGTCCAATTCAAGGTTAATGTCTTAAGTTATAATATCATAATATTAAGACCATTTTCATTGCAGATCCAAACATGTATGGAGATCTTGGAGAGCATTTTGCTGTACACTGCAGAGGAAAGCCAACTTGCCAATAGACTGGGAGTGTCAATAGTACAATGTGTTCTACAAGGTCACATGAAGTTGTTGTACTCATGCCTGAACCCAGGGAATCCTCCTGAAGTTGTAAAGGCTGCATTAAAACTACTCACTGCCATGGTCACACAAGGATCATCTACTGCAAGAGAAGTTCAAAGCTCGTTTGACTTCACTTTGAAGTCTCTTGGGGCACTGCCAAACAAACGTGATAGTAATGTAAGTCATTGTACAGTTGAAATTAATATACAGGTTGTACATGTGCAGAGTACCACAACTTTCACTTGGGTTTCATTTACTGGCTTAGAGCATGGGACATCTGGATTTGGCGTGGTAACATACTTTATGCATGGTGCTTTAAATGATTAACCAATAAATTGTGCAGACAGAAGGGAAAACAACAATACAAAAGAAGTAACCCCTTCATACTGTGGCAATCCCAATTAATTGATATCTCAGTAGCTGATGACAACTGTGTTCTCTCAAGGTTACAAAAATTAGAGGTCTCAAATGATAAGCAAACTTAATTATTAACCAAAAATGATATTTGACATGCAAAAATTATATTTGACACCCAACAACTATCATGAAAAGCAACTGCAAACTGAGGCCCCCTGTCCCCTGCACCCTGCCCCCTTAAGTGCTACAGAAGTGTACTCCTCATAAGATCCCTACATTTTGTAAGTACAAAATGATACATTTTGTCTTTAAGAAGACACATGAAAAAAAATATGGGAAAGTAAACATTGTGGTATTCTTTTGGTTGAGATTTTGGAAGCAGTAGTGAAAAGTCAACTTCACAACTGGTCACTCAGTAATTTGCCTGGAGTTCAGCTGTTAATGACATCCCTGCCTCTATAATAGGCGTACATGATAACCATTATGAAATTATAACCAGTTACTTCCTTTGGGTTTTTATTTGTCCTTTCCACATTTCTCTCTATCTTGTCTTTGCTATGGTGTATAATAGTTTGAACTATTTACTTTTGTTTTTTTTAGTCGGCGCAAGATGTGAGGACTTGTTTTATATACTTTTGTCTCTCATTTCTGATGTTTGGTGACTTGGTGGTTATGAAACAGATATTAGAACTAAAAGGTATTCACCTGTAATTGTATTGTACATGTATTCTTGATGTTTTCATTGTTTCTGTGTGGTGTTGTTTAAGTGTCTACCAGTATTCACTTTAAAGAGGAGGAAGGTATTTTGAAAAAGAAGAGATAAAAGTCTTTAAATTAAGACATTAATACTTAAAGCAAATTACCTAATATATTTTACAAGGAAATGTATGCAGCTTGAAGGGAGATTACAAAATAATCTTAAAACTATCTAGAGAGTTAAGAGTTGAAAAATTATTTTTGTGACTGACTCCAATAAATCATCATGTACTGTTCATTTTACTGGTTGAACACTATTGCATCTTTTAATAAAGTCCATTCTATGTTTTATTAACACTAATTTTTCTCTTTTTCATCTTCAAATACAGGATTTCTTCAGTCAGTATTGAAAGGTTTGTCTCTTGATAAACCAGAGATAGTTCATATGGTGTTATCTACCCTGCAAGGAAGAGTAAGTGGTACCTATCATTAGATAGTTGGCTAAAAAAGGGGGGGGGTTATTGAAAGGAGGGCACTTAATAAAGGAGGCAGTTATAAAAAACCATTATCCTGTACTGATCTTGCTGTACTTGAAGCTTAAAAAGTTATAAATAAAGTGGCAGTAGAAACAATTTTTCCTTATATCCCCATTATTTAAGAAAGTGAGGAAGGAAGAGGGGGGCAGTTATTCAAGTGGGGTGCTTGTTTGATATAATTGCCCAGGGGATGGGTGCTTATTCAGAGCAGGGTGCTTATTAGAGTGCTCATTTAATGTGGAAAAACAGTCATTATCTCAAGTTGAAAATGTGAATTAAAGCATCCAGTTCCTTTTTGGATAAGAGCTAGGTTCATGTTTGAGTCTTGGTAGATCATTATGCTATGTTTTTACAAGGCAAAACACTTAACTCCAACATCTAGAGCTGTCAATAGGGGTCACAGCCTGTTTCAACCAAGCAGATTGCTGTCATGTTACACTTGACCATAAGTTACAGCAGTACATGTGATATTTTCCAAGTAATGGCTGCTTCAAAACTTTGTGACAGCCTTGACATCTTCTCTCCCCACTTGTGAGTTTGAATGGGTACCCACAGAAATAGAAGGACTTGTCTGGGTGTTACATGACTGTAATTAACTGATGTTGCATTTATGAGGAGTAGCAGGCCACTTTAGGTGTGGTGCTCCTCCATAGTCCCTTTCTGTTATATGAAATAAGATTTGTTTACAGAAGGAGCAGCATAACTGACTCATACACAGCCATACGTTTAAATAGTCATGGTTTTTAAATAGTTGTTTTTTCTCTACCTTTGAAGGTGGTGCACAATTCTGGGATTACAAAGAAAACCAAAGTGCAGTTCTTTAACTCTCATGTCCTCTCACAACTGGCAAATCTTTATCAGTACACAAAAGATATGGGAGAAAATAACAGTGAGGAACAGACCTCTGATTCAACAGTGCGGCAAAAAGTACATGACCTATTGTTGAAAGTGTGTGGGTCTTTCAAATTTGGAATTTGTTTTTTCAATGTGGCTGGGGCATTTTCCATTAGGTAGAGTATACTTTCTAACTTTTATGAATGCGGATAAAATGCTTTGCTAGAGAAAGGGGGAATTTAAGAACCCTTGCCAGTGGCTCATGCTTTGAAAAGGAGTGAATTTAAGGCTTAATGTTGATAATACTGCCCTTTAACATAGAGATGTACATGTCAGATCTGTAGGAACAGAAATCAGCCTTAAACATACTGCATAACCAGTACTGGTTTGTAGAGATAGCATTTTTTATCATGAGCAATTAACTGACAACTAACATTTCTATTATATGTTGGATGCATGTAATTCCTTGACAGAGATCGCCTTTTCTTTCTCTTAACCCTTTCCATCCTAACATCAGTATGCATATTCTCCATACTATTCTTCATACATTTCCTAAGGTGCTGACAAGGAGAACATGTAATCAAAAGCTTCTCAAGTTGGTGATCATTTCTTGTATTCCTGTGATCTTAATGTTTGAATCAGGGGTGATATTATAAGGAGAAATTAGATGTTAGTCACTCTAAGGGGTCAAAGGATTAAAGTTTTCTGATAATTTGCTTTCAATAATGTCTGAAGATGATAATTATTTTTACAGGAGTAATAATCCAGTGTTGCTAAGGTTCCTTCAAACCTTATCTTCAGCAACAACAGATGTACTTGTCCAGGAACTTGTGATCACTGTGTTGTGCTGTTGCCATGATGTTGTGAGGCCCTTTTTATCCAGTTTGACAGCAACATACGAACCAAGGCTTTCTATGCATTGGATTGCAAACATGAACCTGTTGACAAAGGTGAGAAACAGTCCTACCGATGATCAATACAAAAATCATGTATATCTTCATCTATAGGTGCCTCTGTTCTTGACATAAGCTAAGGCACATGAATGTTTTTACATTTTCTTTTCATCCAATTTGATTAGAAGTCAGGGCTTTGACAGTCACCCATGACTGCTTGACTTAGCTGCATTCCTCTCTTCCTTAACCATTTTCAACTATGCTGTCTAACAAGTAGAGGTAGAGGTGCAGTGGCTCAATGGTCAGGGCACTCAACTCTGAGTCAAGAGGTCTGGGTTCAAGGCCTGGCAGGGTCAATGTGATGTGTTCGTGGGAAAGACACTTACCTATCACAGTGTCTCTCTCCACCCAGGAGTATAAATGGGTACTAGTGACTTTTTCAGGGAAACCTGATGAAATGCTGTGGGGGTAACCTTGCAATGGAGAAGCCATCCAGGGGGGAGTAGTGATACTCCTAGTTGCTTCATGCTACTTGGAAATCGGAATAAGCTCTAGCTGGGTGGGCCAATATGACTCAAGTAAAGCTATTACTTACTTTACTTGTTTAACAAGCAGCCAAGAGTTTCAGAAACACAGTTAAGGTGATGAGCCATCTGGTTTTCCATTTGGATTTGATACATTATATTGCTGCTGCCAGCTTTTTTGCTTGAGCAATGGTGAAAGATTTCTGAATGTTACTGTTTCCTTCCATGTTAGGTTTATATAGCACTGCCACAGCCATCAATAATGGTGGAAAAGTATGGTGTGAAGATGACAAAAGAAATTTTGCCAACCTTGGTAAACATAGTAGTTCCTGTTGGATTAAGCCGCACAAGTTTAAGCCGTGGTGTTCAGGTAAGTTTGTTGTTTTGCGTTTTTCATGAGATTTTCCAAGTTTCCCACCCACCTACTGGTGGAACATTTGGAAATGCCATGAACAGCTCTTGGCTTAACCAATTTAGAAAAAAATGGTGTTACTATGACATTGGTGGAAGGAATAGAAAGTGTGGAATTTAAGTTGAAGGCCAAGGATATCCAATATTTGGAGTTAGTACTGACATTTACATGAGTTGAAAGGTTGAAAGTTAAAAAAAATTTGTTTGAGTGCAAAGTGTGCCCCACAGCTATATATCTGGCAGATTTTTCCTTTACATGTCTTGTTGACATGATCCTTTAAACAATTACTTCTCACATTGTGGGTTGTGATAAGTATTTTTACTGAGCAGTGTATATGTTCAGGTATATAAGCTAACCTTCCTGCCCTTCTCAACATTTATTTGCCAGCAGTTGATCAAAACTGTGTTGATTCCCTTTAATTTGATGTTGTGTTCTGATTTCAATGTTTTTGATATTTATTTGTCAACAGCATGCAAGTTATCTAGTGAAACATACAACACTGTCACTGGTAATAGTAATCTTGAACAGAGCACAGAATGCTGTGCAGTGTTTGGCCTCCAGTGAGGATACTGCAGAGGACCTGGCAAACACTACAGATGCACCATTAGTGCAACAGTTCAGAGAAGAGGTTGTTAAGGCATTACCCGATGTAAACACTTTCGTCTCACTGAGGCAGAACCTTGTTAGTGGTAAAACAAAGGGAGAGTCACAAGGAGAAGGTTTGTGTTGAGTTTTTGTTAGTTTGTGTTCGTGCAGTTCTTCATCTCCCATGTCCTCTCACAACTGGCAAATCTTTATCAGTACAAAAAAGATACAGAAGAAAATAACAGTAAGGAACAGACCTCTGATCCAGCTGTAAGGCAAAAAGTACATGACCTGTTGTTCAAAGTGTGCAAGTCATTCAAGTTTGGAATCTGTTTTTCCAATATGGCTGGGGCAGTATACATGTAAGTTGTACCTGCAAGGATACAGGCTCATACAGCTGAAATGTGTCTCAGTTTACCCACAATGAAGAGTCTAGAAGTATTACTTTTCCCCACCTGAATGAAATGTTAGTGCATGACAATTTCCCTTCACCCCAACCCATGGTAGCATTTTCTCAGGTTCTCCTGATAATTTATTATCACAAAAAGAAAACAAGAGTTCATTCTCAGGCCTGGTTGAATGCTTACCTACCATGAGATTTAACCTTTTAACTTCCAGACATGATTAACATGTATCTTCTCATTAAGATATCCATACATCATCTGGCAAATAGGTAATGAGAATTCTCAAACTTATTAGTCAGAAGTTGTTATCTTGATCTAAGACCAAATTCTCATAACTAATTTGCAAGAAAATGTTTCACAACTAGAGGGGTGAATTAGCTGTGAGATTTTGGGAGTTAAAAGGTTAAGACAGCAATTATAGGTTTGTCATTTCAATATTGTGCTTTTAATTTTCAGACTTGGCAAGCCCAACAATCTTCCTTGCAGAAAGCCTGAAAATAATCCATGGCTTTCAGCTGCTAAGTCCTTCACTCCTTTCCCATATCAACTTTGACCTCAGAAAGTTGTTGTCAGGACAACTGGAAGCAAAATTGCCAGTTATTGCACAGCAGTTAACTTTACAGATCTTACTCCACGCACCACCTGGCAGCTTAAAGTGGTTTCAACAGGTTGGTGTTTTGTTGCAAAACATTAACTCTTTTACTTGAACTTGTTTTGTACATGTAGCTGCTGTGCTCTATTATCTTTCCTCTTTCTTCCTCCTGTCTCTATCCATTTACCCTCTCTACAAGTGTCAATTTAAATGGCCAAATTGTGTCAATTTAATCTTGATACAGCAGCTTGTTAAATTGAAGAGCATTTAGCACTAATTCAGGATTAAAATTGAGTTAGATTTCTCTTTTAATGCTCCAAAGCTCAAAACAAAAGGCAAAAATTTACTCGTAGCTTGAGTTAGGTTTATACTGTTTCAAGCAACCCAACCCCAATCTACCTGTATTTTTGTAGGTTCTCTCAGGTTAGGGTTAGTGGGTTGTGTTCCTCACTCCACATGTACGTTGTAATATTGGATTGTTTAAAAAAAATTAGAACTTATTGTGAAGCAACAAAATGCTATCTAGCATGGATCCTGAAGCAGTGCAATTTCCCATTTAGATTCCATTGCAGTGTAGAGAGAATTTAAAATACATGGGAATTAATTTATCTGACAGAGAAGGGCTGTGTGTGGCACAGTTTGTGACTTGAGTGTTAGAACTATGTGAAGCAACAAAGTCATTTAGCAACAATCCTGAAGCAGTGCAATTTCCCATTTAGATTCCATTGCAGTGTAGAGAGAAAATAAAACACAAGCAACTTAATTTCTCTGTAGGAGAAGGGGCTGCATGCAGCAGAGTTTGCGACTTGAGTGTTTCAAGGGTTTGATTTGTAAATGGTGAATGTCATTAACTTCTGTTTTTAGTTTGTTTCTATATATTACATTATATGCTTTTTAATTTTGTCTTATCAGAAGGGAAAAAGCTCAGCATCCTTTCTGTACTCAATACTAAACGTGTACACATCAGCAAGGAATGAAAAGATAAAGACAGATGCTCAGCAGCTTGTGCAGAAGGTTAGCATGTGAATATAAAAAAAGGGTGAAAAATTCAGAAAATAAGATCCTCTGATGGACAAACTCTATTGTTAAGGAGGGTGGAATAAAGAAAAAAAATGGGACGGGGTGCTTTTTGAAAAGTATTCATGTACTATGGGTACATGTACATACTATTAGCTGAAGTGAGAAGTATAGTCACTGTAATACTTTCAATAGCTGAGATACAATGTAGAGGTAGACTGACTGTCTGATGACTAATAGCTAGACTGACTCACTGTCTGTCATTGATTGAAAAGGATGAAATGGTGCTTTGACAGAATTGATGGAAACAGTTAATTTACTTCTGAGATGGGACTAAATGAAGTCGAAAATTTGACACACTCAGTGATTAATAATGGTAATAGGAGCAAATGGAGTCCAATTCAATCTGTAATCATAAGTCAGAGTGATTATCAGACAACTGTGAAGCAGTCCTGAGTATGATAACAGACAGAATTGGGTGACACAAAGTCCTGTTACCAATAAATCATAACTTTTACAATTTCTGGAAAAACATACATTTAGGACAAACATTTTAGAGAAAATGTGTAAAGTAAAAAATTCCTCCAATATGGAAATTCCCCAATTTTTTTTTATTGTGGTTAACAGTGTTTTTGCCTTTCTTGAAGCTCCTTAGTGAAACAGGACTACTGAACAGCCTTCCACATGCAAATGAGGTAGAAATGTGGTTGAGTCATCTGTGTCACAGTCAGTTTGAAGAACATACGAAGACACTTCTTAGGTTTTTGGATGAAGTCTTTATGGCTGTAGCCTCTGAGCCATACCTGTACACAGACATTGTGATCGACCTGCAAGCTGAAGCAGTTTCACATGAAGCTAGTGCTCTGCAGTTTGGTTTGGACCCAACAGATTGGACCCAGTCTTCCAATACAAGGTTTGACCTAAGTTTCTTTGATAAAAACAATTTAAAATTATATTCAAACAGTTTATTCATTGGCTCTTATTGAGGTCTGTTTGGTTTTGTTGTTTTTTGCAAGTTACATATATGTAGCATTTGCTGTGGATTGCATGATTATAATAACTTTGAAATGAACCAGGAAATTTAAATGTGAACCATGGATAAAAAGAAAAATGAACCACATTAAATGTTTCCGAGATCATCCTATTTCTCACACGTAGCTTGGCTTAGAAGGAGGTGTGTGATCAATATGAATACCATTTAAAAGTAGGGGGATGCACCTGAAGAGATTGTTAATATCTTGGCTCTATCAGCCTTCTGTCCTTTTGATTGGGGCCAAAAGCAAGGAATGGAAAATCAAAATGATTAAAGATACATGTAGCATAAATTTATATACACATCAGTAAACCACAAAACCTTAAACTGCACCTGTTATTAGGACCTCTGTATGCTGTTAAGATTTCTCAACCCTGATTGGCTTATTTCCATCAACAGAATCACCTTCCAGGAATATTTCTGGTTGTTATGGTTTTCTGAGTTTCTTAGTAATTCAAACTCATTTTCTTTCAGTCTTCCTGTAAGTCTTTTACTTGTTGGAGCTTTGAAGCGATATTGTGAGATGATCTCAAATGCCACTGAACCAGGTGAAAAAGCAGAGGTGCTCCCTTTAGGTAGGTCCTAGTATGAACAGTCATAAAAATTAAGTAAATTAATATGAAAAAATCATAATTTTGACCTCTAGATATGATAACAAGGTACTAATTGATCTACACAGTTTAACTGTAAGTAATTCATTCAACAGTAAGAAATATGTTTAAATAATTATTTAGGTTTGGACAGGGATTGAACCAGTACCTCTTGATGCTAAATTTTAGTCCCAAATGCTCACTTCTTTTTTAGCTTTTTTACCTGATTATTTTATATGAAATTGTAACAGGTCTATTTCTGCTGCTGCTTTAATATTTCTCTTCTTAAATGTCCCTCTCTTTTTCCTCAGGTTGTATAGCAAAGTACATGAATTGTGTCATCTCAGATATGATTCACAGTGCAATGAATCCAACCATTTTGTGCTTTGTGGTGTGCCATTATGTGAGCAACACTGAAGTATCACAACATATGGCTACAGTAAGGAGTGCACATAAAGCTTTGCTACATTATCTAAGTTACTGGATGCCCAGCTTCACTCAACTACAGGACAAGATTGATTATCTAAAGGTATTGCTGATATGAGTTCCTTTGCACTGTGTCCTTTGTTACTGAATGAGATGTCACTGAAAAAAAAACTGAAACTGTGATAAGAAAACAGAGTATTTTTATCAAAATAAAAGAGGTGACCTTGACATCAAACATAGTGGCAATAGGTAGAAAACATTTAGCACTAACTGAAATAGGCCGCAGTAAGGGTGGGAAGAGTTCTGGGCTTTGTATGGTCTGGAATCTTCCTTCCTTCAAACATAAGGCAGATTATTATGCATGGACCTGACCATGAGAACGTAAAATTCTTGTATTCTCATGTTATGAAAAGAAGTTACATTTTAGTTGCAAAGGAAGCATTGTGTTTCACTTATTCTACTCGTAGATGCAGTATTATGTGTGCCTAGTCCTTTTTTAATTATACTAACTATCATAAAGGAGGCTTAAGATGGTGATGTATAAAATCAAAACCACATCTTCTGTGGATGTGTCAATATCTTCTTAATGCATGTGAATGATTTTCATTTCTCCATTTTAAATAATTTCATATCCGCTTGGTACCGTCAAAGACCAGCAACAACAGTTTAAAGCAGCTACAAAGCTTCTTGAGCAGAACAATGGTGCAAAACGAGCAAGGTAAGAAAAACCCTTTAGCTCTTTAACTTCCTTGAGTAATCAATACATGAATTATTCTTATAAAAGTGACACTTTATCAGGTAGGAAAGCTCTGAGAGTTAAGAAGATTATTCACAAGAGGATGTCATTACAACGACGCTAAATTCTCGAGAATAATTTGTGAAGAAGTGTACATTGTTATTTAGGAGGACTGGCTTTCACATCCTCGGAGTAAA